GGTACGTGGGTGAGGGCATGGAGGAAGAAGAGTTTTCTGAGGCCCGTGAGGACATGGCTGCCCTTGAGAAGGATTATGAGGAGGTTGGAGCAGATAGTATTGAGGGAGAGGATGAGGGTGAGGAGTACTAACCTGTCAGCTGCGATGTTACACTCCAGTGTCTTGGGATTGTCTTATTTCTGTTGTTCTGTGAAGTCTGTTGTGTCCTAAACTTTGCAATAAAGTTGTTTTCATTTTGAATGTCAAACTGGTTTCTTCTGTATCACAGTAAATACTTGCCCCTTTTATTCAAGGCCAGTTGGGTGGAGGCTGGCAGACCATCCTGATCATTTGATCAACTTTCCCAGTGGCTTCTGTGTGCGCTGTATTGTGCTAAGTGGTTTGTCTGTTTCACTTAAACCTGATTTGATGAGTGATGATAATCATTTCAGTGAGGCAACAGGCTCAGATTGGGCCACTTTCTCAAACTTGTGTCACCTGTAGCCATTGAAATGCAGATCCAAGCTTCAGGTACTGCATCCAACAAGCTTCCAGCTGATGCTCTTGGTCTACCAAAATTCAAGTAACCAGTCAGACTGCCAAGAGGTATGTCAGTATTTAATAAAACATTTGAGTCACATGGGAAAGGCTTTGGAATTGTATTGATAAATTCCATATTTAGCCCTGGGTGGTGGCTCAATGGTTAGAGCACCAGCCCATGCACCAAAGAGTCATGGGTTCGTTTCCTGGTCAAGGGCAGGTACCTGGATTGCAGGTTCATCCCAACCCCTGTCAGGGTGCATGCATGCAGGAGGCAAGCAATCGTTGCATCTCATCGATGTTTCTCCCTACCCCCACTCCCACTTTGAAAAAGCAATGGGAAAAATGTCCTAGGGCAGCGATGGCGAACCTATGACGTGTGTCAGAGGTGACACACGAACTCATTTTTTTGGTTGATTTTTCTTTGTTAAATGGCATTTAAATATATAAAATAAATATCAAAAATATAAATCTTTGTTTTACTATGGTTGCAAATATCAAAAAATTTCTATATGTGACATGGCACCAGAGTTAAGTTAGGGTTTTTCAAAATGCTGACACGCCGAGCTCAAAAGGTTCGCCATCACTGTCCTAGGGTGAGGATTAAAAAAAAAAAAATTCCATACTTAGACAAAACCTACAATGGCACATATGTTTGTACTTTACAAATTTGCTGCTTAGAGAAAGTGAAGTTGGCTGAGACAAAATTAGCAGTTACAGGCGGTTGTATTCTTGGTACCTGACCCAAGGTGTGTCCGGAATATTTGAAGTAGGGGGCCAAGGAAAATTGAAGAACGATTGGAGAGGGGAGAGTTCCCTGATGAGGATCCTCTTCCAAGCACCTGTTAGAAGCGGTGTGGTCCTTAAGGGGGGCAGGAGGGACTATGAGGTAAGGGTGGGGAGGAAGGGGCATTAATGTGAGTGGCTGGGGAGCTTGGCGACTGGTACTCAGGTGCCAGTGGTGTGGCCTAGAAGGTTGAGCTAAGCAATGGAAAAGGACGCAGAAGGGAGGGGCCCGTGTGGTGCTTGGGCACTGGCCTCGGTGGAAATGCCCCGCGAGTGGCAGGAGATGGAGGCCCTGGTGACCCTATTCTGATGGTGCTCAGTTGCCATCTCTCCCCCACTGGTTTTCACCCCTAACCCCTTGCTCACCCCCTGGCTGTTAGAGAAGAGCATCTGAAATGTGCCTGTTCCACCTCCAAGCAGAGGGCACAGCTGGAGGTGCTGCACCATCTGCCGGAGGTGCTGCACCGTTGTGCTCAGGGAGGGTCTCACCGCATTCACGAGTGCAACCCTGGCCTTACGCCCTTCAGGCCGCCCCATCCTTGAGTACAAGGCCAGCTATTTCTGCTTATCATATGGGACAGTCCTCCTGCAGCCCGAGCACGGGCAGTCGGGGATGAAAACGAACCGTGGATAGGCCGCCAGCCCAGCCACCAGAGGGGCACCCTGAGACCTTCCCGACCTAGGGAATGAATCTGCCGGTTGTCACTGGAGGAAACGGGACACGCACGTGAGAAGGAGCAGGTAAGTCATCCAGCCGCAGCTGAGCGTGACGTCCCGTGACACCTGAGAGGCCCATTCTCTGAGCCAGCACCTCCCGAGCACAGCGCCCTGAGAATGGGATTCAGGGCTCCTGGGCTACGCCCCCCTGGCAGGAGCCCTTCCTCCACTGACCTCAGTAAGCCTTAAGGTAAGTCATTGCATGTGCCAGATGTGGGAAGGTTGGAGACCTGGAAGCAGCTGCCATGGTGTGGGGGTGAGAGAAGGTGAGGAAGCGTTTAGTTGAGAAATATTCCAGTCCAACAGCCGGGGGAAGAGCAAAGTGCTGGCGGCTGGGAAGGGTTTCTCGCAGTGATGACATCCCCTCCTGTGTCGGTGACAGCGGGTAGCAGTTAGCCTGCAGCAAAAGACAAATGCAGCCCAAGGTCTAGGTCACTACTTTGTGGCTGCCAATCATCCGATATGCCCTTGAACACAAATGGAAAGGCTGGACTCAGAACTGCAGCCTTTGCTGATGGTGCTGAGGCTCCATGCGGATAAACGGAGAAAGCCTCAGAGTGCAGGCTCCAAGATTGGCTTGGGCCCCAGATTCTGGCTGCGCAGACATAGGGCTTAGGCTGCCCTCGCCTGCCCTGAGCAGAGAAACAGTCTGTTCCCACCCCCACCCCCGGAGGCCACCAGCCACTGAGGGCCCAGCAGACCCAGCATAGCTGCTTGGAGCTGAGTGAGGAGGAGAGAACGGCTGTGAGGGGCAGTGTGCTGGCCTGTCTACCTGTCATCCTAAGTGTTTGGGGAGCAGCTGGCAAATGCCTCTGCTCCAGGGGAATTGGCCAAGCATCCCGCCGTCTGGACAGAGGCAGCCAGTGGTTTTGAGCTTTGACAGAGCCTGTCTTCAGGCCCCAGACTTTTGGAAGGTGAGCGGCAGCCGAGTGGGTTGTGGGGGGAAGGGGAGACTGTCAGGGCGGAAGTGTTCCATGATCTTCACCACACCCTGTGAGGAGATGCTTACCCATTTCCACAGCCGGAGAAGTCAAAGCTCAGAGAGATTAAGTATCAGTCTAAGTAAACTGAAATTTGACCCACAACTCTGGTCACACCCCTTGTGGGCCTTTCCAGTGCTGGGTGGGAAGGGCCACATGCTGGGGCGTCAGGCCTGAGGCCCACGGGGGCCAGCCCTTGGGAGTAGCACTGGATGGAGCCAAGCCACAGAACGGAGATCCTGTGATGCCATTGGTTGTTAGATCACCACCCAGGAGCCCCATTCTGGTGACAGCACGCTAGTCCAAAGGAGCAAAGCAAGCTGGTCCCCACTCAGACGGTGGGGGGCCTTCCAGTGAGGGGACTCCATTGTCCAGGCCTCCCTCTGAACCCAGGGAATCCATTCTCAGATCGTGGTGCTAATGGGGTCCTTGCAGGGTAGTTGTTACCACCGTCCTGGACTCCTGCTGACGGGACTGCAGCCACAGGGCAGACAGGATAGCTCACACCTGGAGAACCAGAACCGCTATCCTAAGCACAGGGGCCAGAATGTCTCCTGTCAGCCAAGGACACAAGGTGAAGCTGGCAGAGATGACCCGGGCATATGGCTCCTGGAGTCCAATGCCAGGGCGGCTGTCAGGGAGGCAGGCAGCATAAGGCGGGGAAGACAGACCCGTGTGTCAGGTGGGGAAGGCTCCCACCGCAGCCTCGTGGAGAAAGTCCCCCTTTGCTGACGTCTCATTAACCTGTCACTGCCCCACTCATTCCAAGAGCCCGTCTCTGAGTTTATTCGTCCTAAGAGCAGATTCTGGGAAAACGGTTCTTTCCCCTTCTGACGCTCCTCGGAGTCTGTGCAGGAGAGAAGTACTCATCTCAGCAGCAACGAACCTCACAGAACGAGAGTCATGTGTCCTTTACAGAAAATGCTCTTCAAAAACTCATATCACCACTGCAAGGCTTGTTTTTCTCTCTTTTAAAAAACGAGGACAAGCCCTGGCCTGTGTGGCTCCATTGGTTGGGTGTTGTCCTGGGCACCAAAAGGTTGCTGGTCAGACTCCTGGTCAGGGCACATGCCGGGTTGAGGGCCCCTAGAGGGCGTGCAGGAGGCAGCTGATCCATGTTCTGCTCTCACGCACACCCACGCTTCTCTCTCTCTCTCTCTCTCTCTCTCCCCACTTTCTGTTTCTCTAAAAATCAATTTTAAAAATCTTTAAAAAAATAAAAAAATGCGAACAAAATATTAAGCTTTCCTAATTACACAAGAGTTTTGTCTACATTCACAAATTAATTTAATTCATTGGGGTGGATAGTAAGTCAGTCTCACTGCTGTCACCTCCCTCTCTTCTTCCCAAATCTCACCTGGCTCACAGGAGAGGTCTAGCCCGACGGTAAACTGATACTGAAAT